GGAAGCTCACGCCTGCACGCTGAGCCACCCCACCGCCTCTCGTTTCCAGATTTTCCTTGAGGACAGGAAGTGAAATCGGCCCGTTCACATATAAGCAACACTCGTGGCGGGTTTTGGTCACCACGTGCGAGAGACGATGGCGGGCAGGGTGGGGGCCGGTGGCACGACTTTGGGGGGGGTCTCCCTCGCGCAGGTACGACAGACAGAAGCTGACGCTGAAGGACATCCACAACTGTCAGTACGTGGCTTGCATGAACCCCACCTCCGGATCGTTCACCATCGACCCCAGGCTCCAGGTGGGTGGAAGCCAAACTCAGCTCGTCCCGCCGCCGTGGGGTTGAGGTCTCAGAACAAGCACATCCCCTACAGTATTCGGGACACGCTTACCCATCAGGACAATTGTTTGTTATTTACCTAAAACTCAGATTTATCTATTATTTTGTTTTGTTTTGTTTTGTTTTAATGTTTGTTTATTTCTGAGACAGAGAGAGACAGAGCATGAACGGGGGTCGGTCAGAGAGAGAGGGAGACACAGAATCCCAAGCGGGCTCCAGGCTGTGAGCCGTCAGCACAGAGCCTGATGCGGGGCCCGAACTCACGGACCGCGAGATCGTGACCTGAGCCGAAGTCGGATGCTGAACCGACTGAGCCTCCCAGGCGCCCCTCTGAAACTCAGATTTAGCAGGATCTCCCATACTAACGTCTGCAACCCCATCCAGGCAGGACCTCGCTTCTGAAGGATCTAAGCGGATCCTTATGATTTCGTTCGATCTCACCACATACGAGGCCCAAGGAGGGAGACCGTCCGTTCCGACCGTGCCCGCGAGACACTAGGTGACGGGGGTGGAGCCTGCGCCCCCAGGCAGGCAGGCAGCCCGGGCCACCAGCTGGTCCCCCTGGGGCCGCCTGACGGGGATCTGTGGTTATTCCCGGCAGCGCCACTTTTGCGTGTTTGCCGTGAGCTTTCCGGGCCAGGAGGCCCTCACCACCATCTACAACACGATCCTGGCCCAGCACCTGGCCTTGCGCTCGGTCCCCACGGTGGTTCAGAAGATGAGCGCCCAGCTGGTGACCTCGGCCCTGGGTAAGCTGACGGCTCATCCCCTCCCCTCCTGTCAGGAAAACCTCCTGCTTCATGGGGCTGATGGCTTCTTCGTGGTCTCCCCTGGCAGATATGTTATTTATACTTTTAAAATCAATATTTTTAAACGATGCTATGTTGCAGCAGGAGATGTGATGAAATCCACTGGCTTGAGGGGAGGGCGGGGGTAGGAAATTCAGTGTACAAGGAGTGATTTACACGTCAGTAGGGCAGCAAGCCTCCCTCTTCGGCCGTGCAGAACTTCTTACTCAAACTGTCACCACCTCGTACTCCATTTGCCTTCGAAACTGTACCTTTAAGCTCTGCCCTTCCTGAGGCCGTTAAGAGCACCTAAGAATCGATGTATCTTTTTCCGGTAACAGCCCTGCATCAGAAAGTCGCTGCAATGTTTCTTCCCACGGCCATTAAATTTCATTACGTCTTCAACCTGAGGGACCTCTCCAGTATTTTCCAGGTACTGCTCTTCTGGCCAAGTCCCTGATCCGTGGGTGCTCTCCTCCTGCGCTGCTCTCAGGAGAGAAAGCAAAGCGACCTATGGACTGATGACAGCAATGATGACGGGGCTGCGTGTGTCATTACCTTGTTGTTTTGCTTGCCTGGTTGCATCTCCCCCTAGAAGTGTGGACCCCATGCAAGCAGGGCCTATCTGGGCCGTGATCCCCGAGCCCCAGAGAGGGTCTGGAACGTGGTAGACTCTCCTTAAGAACCTGTTGGACGTGCCCGGGGCACTCGGTCGGCAAACGGCTGAGCCAGGACCGGACACAGGCAGGCTTGCGGCGGATCCCCGGCCCGTAACTGCCCGCCCTGTGGCCTTCGAGAGTCTGGTTCCCCCTCGTGGCCAGACTCGTCTGTCCCTTCTCCGCCAGCCACCCGGTTAGAGAATGAAGGCATCGGCCCTGTCTCGGGAGGAGGATTCCCCCACATCTCTGCCCGCGACACAGCCTCCGGGATGCACGTGGCCTCGGCCATCCGTGGCTTGGCAGATCACCGCCTGGGGAAGTGACCACTCTCTCGCGTCAGCTGCGTACGGCACCTGGCTGGCCTCCGTAGTGCAGCTGACGACGCTGACCGTCCCGTGCCTGGGGCAGGGGCTCTTATTCTCCACAGCGGAGATCCTGAGGGTACCGCTCGACCTAGTCCGCCTCTGGCTGCATGAAGCCGAGAGGGTGTATGGCGACAAGATGGTGGACGGGAAAGACCAGGACGTGCTGCGCAGAGTCACGATGGCTTCCACCAAGAAATTCTTTGATGTAAGTCAAGCCACCAAGTCCCTCTGATGAGCCCCGACAGGCTCTAGGAGGGCAGGGTGCCTGGGGCCCGCCGATAAGGCGAGCCCCCTCGGAAGGGCCCCGACGTGAGCGTGCGAAGGACCGCGCCGGGTCCCTAGAAATGACTCGGTCACGCGAGTGTGTGTCTGGGGGAAGGACTGACGCCTCAGTAGGTCGGGATGTGATGAGCTCCCTCCGTCCGCTTGGGGTAGAGAAAGGCCTGCCTGGCTCATGGTGCTCTGCTCGTACGTCCTAGGCTTTCTTGGAAGATTCTTTTCTTTCTCCTGACGTGATGGGAGATGGGACCGTCCTACCGGGGAGTTTTTTGCCCGCTGGTCTGCAGGGCCCCAGCAGCAGCGGTTTGGGCCCATGAAGACTCGGCCCGGCGTCCCGGGGCCGCTGCTGTGTTGAGCTGCGTGCCCACGATGGACCGGGGAAGTGCCTTACCTCTTATTCCTAGGATCTCGGCGAAGAGCTTCTCTTCGCCAAGCCAAATATCTTCTGCCACTTCTCTCACGGGATCGGCGAGCCCAAATACCTCGCGGTAACCAACGTGGCCCATCTACACAAGCTCCTGGTGGACGTCCTCGACAGTTACAACGAAGTCAACGCGGTCATGAACTTGGTGAGGGGCGTGCGCCGTGCTGACAGCACAGGCGAGGGGCCGGGACCCCGCTTTCCCCGTCCTGCCTCGCTGGGAACCACAGCGGTGCCCTGGGGCGGCATGACTCCTGGCAAAGGCCACCTGGACCCCCCTCCCCTCGCCCGAGGAGGGTCTGGGCCGTGGACGGAGCCGCATCCGCGCGCCCCGGGATGCCAAGAAGCCTCTCGGCTCTCGGCAGGTGCTGTTCGAAGACGCGGTGGCTCACGTCTGCAAAATCAACCGCATCTTGGAGTCGCCCCGTGGGAACGCCCTGCTGGTGGGTGTGGGAGGCAGCGGTAAACAGAGCCTCTCGCGCCTGGCCGCCTACATCAGCGCGCTGGACGTGTTCCAGATCAGCCTCAGGAAGGGCTATGGGATCCCAGACCTCAAGGTGAGATGTGGCTTTCTGACGAGCCGCCCCTGTGGAAGGGGAGGAGGAGGGGGGCAGGGAAACTCTGACCACGCGCCGGTCCGAAAAGAGGCCCCCGGGACACAGAAAGTGAATGTCCCTGCAGGGTCCTCGTCGGAGGGAGTAAGGGCCGGGGCACGTGCTTCCACCAGCGCCCGCGCCCCTGTGGCCCAGGGGAGAGGCCGTGCGGGTCCCCGTCCCCGCCGGGCTGGAGTCTGTAGGGTCAGCCCACCAGCAGCGGGACCCGGTTCTTGCCCCTGGTCGCCGAGTTGTTCTGTGTCGTTCCCGGGTCCCCAGAGTAAATAATTCCGGGCGGTTACTCGGTATCTGACTACGAACTTGGATCCTGCCAGGCTGCTTTTTGAATTAATCAAACAAACATTAGTGTCAACGGGTCTCCCATCGCCAAGACGTGCCGCGGAGGCTTTTCATTGATTTCTTTTTCCCGAAAGTTTGCTCTGGCCGGGGAACTGTGCTCATCAGACATGAGTGGCCCAGGGCAAATCGGCGTCCTGCTTCAGATTAGAACTGAAACTGATTCGACCGCATTACAGGGGGCGCATCTCTCTCTGCGTTGGTGCCGGGGGGGCCGCTTCTGCAGGCCGGACCCAGCGGGGACCCTCCCCACTGCACGGGGCCCCGAGGACCCTGAGGGTCATTGGTGGGCAGCTTTAGCGGGGTGACCTGGAGCCCTGCCGGGGCACAGCGCCCTGGGATGCTCTGCGGGAGGAGGTGGGCCGCTGGCAGAGACCCTTGGAACAACAGTGGGGACGGGGTGCTAATTCTCAGCCCTGCCGGCTCTGCCAGGGGGGCTCTGCCAGGGACCACAACCTCTGGACAAGCATGTGGCTTCTGTCCTTGGCATTGTCCCCAGTGGATTCTACTCTTTGCAGCAAAGGACTAGCCGATGTATTTTTAGGTCCTTGCGTTAAGGGAAAGGTCTTCCTACGGGGGCTACACTGCCTCCTGGACTGGACCAGCTCGCAGCTTAGCTGGTCAAGTTAGTTCACTCTGATTTCCCAGGTGCACTCGATGGCATTTAGGACCCTCGCCTCTGAGCTGTATCATCTCACTGGGTTTTCTCCACTGAAAAGTTTCTAATCTATCAACCAAGTTATACTGGTTTATTTCTTTTTTGTAATGTTTACTTATTTTTGAGAGAGAAAGAGAGAGAGAGAGACAGAGTGTGAGCAGAGGAGGGGCAGAGAGAGAGGGAGACACAGAATCGGAAGCAGGCTCCAGGTTCTGAGCCATCAGCACAGAGCCCAATACAGGGCTTGAACTCATGAACCGTGAGATCATGACCTGAGCCGAAGTTGGACACTTAACCGAATGAGCCACCCAGGCGCCCCAAATACTGGTTTATTTTTACAATTGCATCCCGGTGTCTGTCACTGTGTGGATTTTGTCCCTGGCACGCCACTTTAGGGCCAGTTGTGAGTGTTGAGTCTGAACAGCGTTCTTACAGGCAATCTGAGGACTGTGCCCTCAACACCCACTGCGAGCCGGCTGGTGCTAACTGCCCGCTATCACTTATTGAGCAGCTGCTGTGTGTTCAGAAGTAAAGAAGCAGACAAAGCGGGCTGACGGGGCTTGTGTTGTGCTGTTAGTGATGTGATGTCGTTACGCGGTCCATACCATAAGCTGTGGACGCCCGCTGGAGGTTAGAGGCAGGAAAGGGGTCAGGAACCGCCCCCGAGGGACACTGTGGAGAATCCTGGACGTGGTCCCCAGGAAATGAGATGCCATCAAGTGTTTGAGCAGAGAGAACCAAGACCTGGGAAGGTCCCAGAACAAAATGGAGGGCGGTTTGAGGACCACAGAGAGTGCCGCGGGGTGAGCGGTGGGGAGGTGCAGAAAAGCCTCGTGCCCCACAGGGGCTGGGACCGGGCCGTGTAGGGAGCGGGAAGGGAGAGACCTGAGGGGCAGTCTAGGGGTGCCCCCACCCACCAGGGCTCTGCCTGCACAGGAGGGAGTAGGGGGGCAGGGCCTCGCTGGGCTCCCCACTCTCCGGGCCCCAGCGCTGCCCTGTTTGTATTCCTGTGGGATGCTCCCCCAAAGCCTGAGTCATAGCCCGGCGAGTAGGGATGCACCTGATGGGGAACCCCGGAAGTTGAGCAAGGGCCCAGCCCATGGTCTGATGATAATAAGCAGCTTAGGGGGCCTCCCAGCCAGAGATGGGAGCGTGTGCTCCCCTCCACCTATGCCGACCCCTAGACTCCCCCTGGACGTGGGTGATCACTGACCTCCTTGTCAACGAGGGGCGAGTGGGGAAGGGACCCGCAGGCACCCGAGCTTTGGGAGGTGACTGTGACGTCCGCACCCGGAGCAGCGCCCAGCAGGGCCCTCCGACAGGCCGCAAATGAGGCCGGGGCAGATCTGGGCTGGGGGCCCGGGGGGCAGCCGGGAGGAACCTATGTGATGCCGCTCCGCATACACGGGCACCTGAGGAATTTGGGGGAGAGGTAGGACGTGCTGGGGGGCTGGGAAGTGCTGGGAGGTGGGAGGCGGGGACCCCAGGACGGGACCAGCAGCCTAAGAGGGTGGGAGTGAGGGACAGGCAAGAGAGAACACGCAGGGCGAGGCCACATGAGGGCAGGTGTGGCCGCCAGGGTCAGAGGGGTGAAGCTTTGAGACAGCGGGGCCAGAGCCAAGGCAGGGCAGGACAGGGACGCAACAGAGGAGGGACAGCCTCACGGGCTCTTCTGGGGGCACCGAGAGAGCCAGCCGGCCGAGCAGCGGAGCACCTGTGGGCTGATGGGAAGGAGCCACAGACTGAGACGTGGCGGGAGGGGGAGCAGCTGGGTCAGGAGGAGCCCCTTATCCCCATTCCTAGGCCTTCAGTCTTTCCAGAAACTTCCACCCTGACCTGGACGGCCGTACAGTTAGCTTTGCGCGCCTCAGCCAGTCGGGCCAGGCTTGGAATCTGAATTTGGGGAACCTTTGCAGCTTTGCACCCAGTGGCTCCCACCTGCAGGAAGAAAGGGGCCTCCGCGGCATCCTGCCGACCCCACCCCCACCCCAGAAGCTGCCTTCCCACTCACAGACCCGCTGCCCTCCGCCACCTCCCTGGGGGTGACAGCCGGGCCGCACACGCTCAGGCCTCTGGATTTAGACACATCTCCAACCATGGGCTCAGTGGGGCGGCAAGACGAGGAGAGCCTTCCTCCTAGCTCTGAGGCTCCTCCAGCCTGCACCCCTGCCCCTGCCCGAACCCCACCGGTGTGGCCCTCCTCTTCTAGCTCAGGACCTCCCCTCGCTTTCTTTCGTGCTAAGTTGTCAAACACGTGGAACTTGGGGCTTGCTTTCCACCGCTGTCCCCTCCAGCTAAGGACCTTGGTAACGTTTCTGTCCGGACAAAGACGCCAGGGAGGCTGGCCACTGCCAGAGGGCAGCACTGAGCCACACGGGATGCCTCCAGCTGGCCCGTTTTAAAGCCTTTGAAACGATTACACGGGCCCATCGGTCTCAAAGAAAAATTAGACATTGCACGTAGTAGGTCATCAAGCCCTGCAAACTCGCATTAGTACCTGGACGACAGACGTTTCGAACGAATATTTACATCTCTCGCGTGCAAGGGGGCACATTCTTCAAGCAACGCAAGGTATTCGTACCGTTCTGACGTGTTTGTTCTTTCTCCTTTTTACTGGTCTCCTTCGCGGATGCTTCCAGAATGAGCATAGTCGTTTCGTGGGGCTGTTTCTTTAAATCCTAGTAGGGACGGGACAGGCGTTTCGCTCCGTGTAGGGATTGCTCGGAGCGGTGTCCTCCTGGCACTGAGCTCCAGACCTGAGCCCACGGTGCATTTACTGAGGACCTCCTTTGGGATCTCTATTTGAGGGATCCCCCCCCCGTTTTATCTTTTCTCAGTAGCAAACTGTGTGCACAACACAAAATTTACCATTGTCACCATACAGGTCAGTGGCATTGAGCACACCCACATTGGTGTATAACCCCCGCCCCACCCCATCTCCGTCTTCCCAAACTGAAACACGAAGTCCCCACCCCTGGCGCCCACCCCGCTACGTTCTGTCTGTATGAACCTGACCACACCAGGGGCCTCCTGCCAGTGGAATCCTACGGTATTTGTCGGTATTTGTCGTTTGCGGACGGGAGTCACGTCCCCCAGGCACATCCGGGTTGCGGCAGGTGTCAGGATGTCTTTCCTGCTGAAGCCTCAATAATCCATCATATGGAGAGGCCACCTTTGTCCGTTTGTTGGCCGACGGACACTTGGGTTGCTTCTGCCTGCGTGGGCGCTGTGAGCGTGGCTACTCCCCGCCCAAGGTTTTGGGTCCCCTTCTACACACCCCGCACGTTGCTTACAAAGCTGATCCCCGGTTGTCCCCTCCCGGGTGGTTGTGGGGGACGCCTCCAAGCAAACGTCCCCGTGACCGACCCTCGGCATGTTCTCCTTGCGTCCAGGTTGACCTGGGTGCACAGTACATAAAGTCAGCTGTGAAGAATGTCCCCTCGGTGTTCCTGATGACAGACTCCCAGGTGGCCGAAGAGCAGTTTCTGGTGCTGATCAACGACCTGCTGGCCTCGGGGGAGATACCGGGGCTGTTTACGGACGACGAGTTGGAGAACATCATCTCCTCTGTGCGACCCCAAGTGAAGTCCCTCGGCATGAACGACACTCGGGAAACATGCTGGAAATTCTTCATTGACAAAGTGCGCAGGCAGCTTAAGGTGGGAGCTCGCGTCTTCGCAGCATCCCGGGGGGCCCGGCGCGGGGCTCAGGTCCTTTCCTCCGTGCGGAGTCGGGTGGGCGGTGGAGGGGCTGCTCCCCCTTCGCACGTGGAAGGCCCATCGGAGAGGACGGTGGGGCTGCGTGGTGGACGTGAGCCGACGGAGGTGTCTCGTGGCCAAGAGAAGCGTTTTCTACCCCCCCCCCCCCCCGACACACACACACGGGTGTAAATAGATGAGGAAGTAGGCCTTGACCTTCAACGTTCTTTCTTAGGGAAACTGGGCTGAACTACCCCACTGGACTGAGGGCACTTTGGGTCCTTTTCTCCCTTCTGTCAGCATCCAGAAGGGGCAGCTGCCCCCTGACCAAGATGGTGCTGCCCTCTGGGAGGGCTCAGCCCAGCAGCTCTTCTAGAACCTGCTGGGTCACACAGTCTGACCAGTAGACATTGTTTGGGGGCTGAAGGAACCCCTGATGGATGCTCCCCGTGCCCCGCCCGGCTTTTCTCCGGTCGAACGGCCACTTCCAATGAGCCAGCCCAGGATCCCCGTGGAAGGAGAACAAGGAGGGGCCCGCAGGGCTGAGGCTCTTCCCAGTCCAGCCAAAGGGACCCCAGGGCCTGTTTGCATAGCACCTATGAACAGCTGGGGTCCCAGGGAGTCCCGACTGTCTGGGGATTAGCCACCTTCTCGGAGGCCTGGAGGAGGCCGGCCCTGTCCTTGGGCCTTATCTGCCCGGCCTGGGTGCTCATTCCCCACTCTGTCCTTCATCTGGCCTTTCTCTCCCCCACTTTGCGGCGGCCGTGACAGAGGGCCTTGCCTGCACACTTCTCCATCCCTCATGAGAGGCGTGAAGTCAGTGGAGCATTTATCGGTTGTGATGCAAACTCAGAACCCCGGGTGCTCTCTGCGGACACCCGAAACGGACGACACAGAGAGCTTTCCTTCCGAAGGAGCTTTCTGCTGGACTGGCAGGCTCTGGCCTCAGCAGCACCATGACCAATGAGCTGTCCCTCTGTGTCCCGCATCTAGGTGATCCTGTGTTTCTCTCCCGTGGGCTCCGTCCTGCGTGTGCGGGCAAGAAAATTCCCCGCCATTGTCAACTGCACGGCCATCAACTGGTTCCACGAGTGGCCAGAAGATGCCCTGGTGTCCGTGAGTGCACGCTTCCTCGAGGAAACGGAGGGCATTCAGGTGAGTCACTGGGCACGGCCCCCTCTGCCGCCCCCTGTACTGGGGCTCACAGAGCCGGGAGGGTCTGCCGCGTGGGACAGGGGGACCCCACGCACTCTGCCTCCAGGCAAGTAAGAACTCGCCTTGGTGCACAATTTAAGAGAAGGGAGGGAGTAACTTCAAGCAGTCAAGATCGGTGATGTCTTAATGTGGTTCGTTTAACCATCCAAATTAATGCCGAATAATTCACAACGAACGAGTATCAAAATTGATCAAAATCGCAAACGATGATGAGTTTTGGTTGTTTTTCACGTCCTGCATTGCTGTGCCCCCAGACTCTTGTTTCTGCCAGCTTGGAGTACCCTCCCCTGAGGCCACGGCCCCACGGGGCTGGGGCAGGAGGGTTGACACTGGGGTACAAACAGACTGAGCAGGTCAGGCTTTAAACGTAGTGCCTGATCAGGGCTGCCTGGGGAGCCCGTGTTTACTTGATAAGCGGGCACAGAGGCCCACACTTACTCTGGTCTCGGGCTCCGGCACAGCCCTGCCCGGGGCTGCCCCCGTCCCCTGTGCCCTGGCCCTTCTCCTCTACAGGCCAGGACGGCTGTGATGGGGAAGTCAGTCTGCTTGTCTTTTGCAGGCCGTTTCTTTAATCGAAAGACGGTGCCCACGATCACTGTTTGAGCTAACTGCTGGCCTAGAAATGGCCATTAAACCCTGACCCGGCCAGTGGGGGAAATGAGGAGCCCTAGAATAAGTCACACTTGGTTATCATGTTTTGTTTTGTTTTGTTTTGTTTTGTTTTGGACACATATTCAGTTACTAAGTACTGAACCTGAAATTAACCGTGGGCCTGGTGGGTAAAATCTGGTGGTCATTGCTAGAGCACCTACTCTGGGATGGGCCCTTCCCACACTTTGTTCGGGGCACAGATGTGGGGTTTCCAGCCCCCCCCCCACCAAGATCGGGGAGAGGCCCCCTTGGCTGGCACCACCAGCGAGGGCCGCAGGGCAGATGCTGAAGCAGCAGGTATCAGGGGGAACACGTTTCCAAATTACCTTGAATCACGGCTGGTATGGCTTGGACCATTCCTGGGACCAGGCGCCCAGGCAGATGGGGTGGACCCAGACGGTGGTGGCTGTGACCCTGCCGTGGGAAGCAGGACCCAGCGTAGGACCCTTCGCACAATACATGCCTACTGGATGGCCCAGGTCACTCAAACATACCGTCGGGCCCTGCACTCTCCCAGGTATGGGCGGGCGTGGAGGTGATCATGGGAGTCAAGCCATGCTGCGTCCCTGGCACTGAGCCAGACCCTTGGTGGTACAATGTCACCAAGCGCCCACGACGGCCTGCACGGGCACTGCTGTCTTGACGGCCCCCACTCCTCCCGGGGCTCCTCCAGGGCCCCCACCGGAGTGGGGTCGCTCCCGCCAGGGGACAGGCAACCAACGGCCCATCTTGCCTTTGCAGGGAGATGTCAAGGCTTCCATCAGTCTCTTCATAGCCTACGTGCACACAACGGTCAACGAGATGTCCAGGCTGTACCTGGCCACCGAGAGGCGTTACAACTACACCACCCCCAAAACCTTCCTGGAGCAGATCAAACTGTACCAGAACCTGCTGGCCAGGAAGAGAATGGAGCTGGTGGCCAAGATCGAGAGGCTGGAGAACGGCCTGATGAAACTGCAGAGCACAGCGTCCCAGGTAGGGAAGAACCTTCCCCCGAGTCGCAGGAACGGGATTCCCGCCTTAGAGAAACGTCCATTCTCACGCCAGAAAGGACGCGTGGGTTTTCATATTAAAAAAAAAAAAAACAAACAAAAAAAACAAAAACGGGTTCGAAATGCTTTCGCAGCGCTGACGTTACGTTGGGTGCTTCGCGTCGGCCGAGCCGGGCGGGATTCGTGCGTCCAGTCCGGCGCGTCCGTGACGTGCCTGTTCCAGGACGCCCTGCACTGAGGCCACCCTATCACTTACTGCCTCCCCGCACCCCCCTCCCGCTCTGTGTCGTGGCCCCGGGGCCCAAGCTCACCCGTCTCTTGGCGTCTCCTCCCCGAGGTGGATGACTTAAAAGCCAAGCTGGCGACTCAGGAGGCTGAGCTCAAGCAGAAAAACGAGAATGCCGACAAGCTGATCCAGGTGGTGGGTGTGGAAACCGAGAAGGTCAGCAAAGAGAAAGCCATTGCGGACGAGGAGGAGGCCAAGGTGGAGGTCATCAACAAGGTGTGCAGACACGCGGGGCCTCCGTGGGCTGTGGCTCATGGCTATGCCGGGCCAGGCCTCCCCTGAGTGGTCAGTATCTCCCATGGGCCCAGGCAAAGGCCGGGAGGGCTCCCAGACCTGCAGGAAGCCCCCTGAGGGGGCATCTCTCCCAGCTCAGAGGAGGGCCGTCTCCTCTTGGAGCCGTGCCATCTGTCCCCAGGCCACCTTGGTGGCATTTCCAGGAGCTGGTAAGAGACGCAGGTTCTCGGGCCCCGGCCCAGCTCTGCTGAATCAGGTCTGCATTTTAACAAGATGCCAGGGACCTGTGAGCACATTAGGGTTTGAGAAGCGCCCCGCCCTTGGATGGGGGCCCCGGTCCTCAGACCCTGTGCCAGGAGCTCCCTCCAGAGGTGCCGAGGTCACTGGGCCGGGCGGGGTGGCAGGACTGCAGAACCACGACCCTCTGAGGCTCAGGGTGGTCGGCAACGTGCCCGGGGGTCTCGAAACTAGGGAGTGGCAGTCAGGACCCACATCCACACCCCAAACTCTGTGACCTGCCTGATACCACGTGTGGCTCTTAATGCCCAGGCACCCACCGCTCTCCAACCCCGGGGTCAGGGGTGCTCCCCGGGGAGGAAGCCCCGGGTAGTGCCCCCGGGTTAGCCCGCCCAGGCAGCGCCTTCACCCCAAGAGACCTGGGCCACGAGGAGCCCCCGCCGCTGGCTCTGAGGCCTTACTGTCTCCTAGTGCCAGTGTGTGATTTCTCCAAAATGGAACAGTTCGGAGGTCTGGCTCGCCCTCCCCGTAAGGAAGTGAGAACGTGTTCACACACCTGTGCGTTCGCTCCTCGGATCGGGACGAACCCCTCCGAGTCTCTGGGTGCCGAGCACAGAGACCAGTAGCAGCGTGGTGTCCATCAGGAAGGAGTCAGTAGGGGCTGGGGGCTTTTCTGGGTGCAGAGGACGAGGACAGAAAGGAGAGGGTCTCTCTGCAAGGCACCCCGTGGAGAGTGCATCCTGCCCCTGACTTTAAGAACACCGTGGGGCACGACCACAGGAACGGGCGTGGAAGGTGCTGGCTGGGCAGGCTGCCCCAGGGATAGCACCCGGGCCTTCCTCCCCAGAGCACCCTCGCGGGGGCTGTTTCTGGATGCAGGGGCTGGAGACGGGTGGGTGCCGGACATTAACCGCTGTCAGTCCCGGAAGCGGGGGCCATTCCAGAACCCCAAGTCCGCCACCCCCATGGCTCATTCCAACCTGTTGAGGGTCAGGGGCAGAGGGGCGGAGAGGAGAAAGGCGGGCTCCAGGCGGTGACCAGTGACCTCCCGGGCATGAAGGGGAGCACGGGGCACAGCACCCTCCTCACTTCCGTCCGTGCTCTCGCTGCTGCCCAGGGCTACACACACACACCCACACACACACTCTCACACGCAGCCCCCACCAATCCCTGCACTGATCTTTCCCGCGTGGCTTCCTTCCAGAATGTCACAGAGAAACAAAAGGCATGTGAAACGGACCTGGCCAAGGCGGAGCCGGCCCTGCTGGCCGCGCAGGAAGCTCTCGACACGCTGAATAAGGTGCGGGAAGGGAAGGAGCAAGAAACGGACAAGCCAGAGTGGAGGAGAAAGCCGTGGTGTGTGTGTGCAAGCGGCCACAGGCTTGTGGAAGCTTCCCGGGGTGGTCCCGGGGCCTGCGGGCCCCTTTCAGGTGCTCCCCATCTGTCATTTTCAGAACAACCTGACCGAGCTGAAGTCCTTCGGGTCCCCCCCGGACGCCGTGGTCAACGTCACGGCCGCCGTCATGATCCTGACCGCGCCGGGGGGCAAGATCCCCAAGGACAAGAGCTGGAAAGCGGCCAAAATCATGATGGGCAAAGTGGACACGTTCCTGGACTCCTTGAAGAAGTTTGACAAGGAGCACATCCCCGAGGCCTGCCTGAAGGCGTTTAAGTGAGTCAGGCTCGACCGCACCGCCCAGCTCAGCAGAGTGGTGCCAGGGTCCCCCGGGTCCCCTCCCGCCCGCCCCGGGCCAGAGACCTGTTCCCAGGGGAAGGCTGTGCCGGCTGGGGTGGGGCAGGGCCTCAGGCCGTGTGCAGCAAGGTGGGCCCCCGGAGCTGGCGGGGGGCGGCCTGGGGAAACGTGGCCGCACGCAGGTCCTGGGGCACCTCAGCACCCTCTTCCTTCCCCACCGGAAGGGGTCAGTGCAGGCGGAAAGGCCCGTGGCTCAAAATCCACAACAGCGCATGGGAGGGTCTAACAACCCGTCACACAGCCCACAGGACCACGAGAAACGCCACCAGGGCCCCTAGAGGCGAGAGCAGTTGCACACACACATACGCACACACGCACACACGCGTGTGCATCCGCTGACTCGGGCCCCGTCGTGCGTGCTTTCTGCTTCCCGCTGTTGTCACCGTAAATGCGCCACACCTGGAGGGGCAGACCCGGTGGGCTGGCCGAGTTGCTGAGGGGCGGGCGGGGGGAGCAAACCAAATGCCGACAAGGGGCCTCCACCACCGGGAGGTGGACGCGCGCTCAGCCTCCTCGCTGGCGCCGGCTCCCCCACGGTCGAGACGCCTGTGTGTGTGCAGAGATCGCGGGGCTCCTGGCGCTGACCGGAGAACACGTTTTCTTGCCGGTTCATCGGGCTCTCCTCTAACCGCCGGACGGCCTCAGCGGCAGGCAGAGTGTAATTTCCCTAACTGGTCCCAAACCGCGGAAGATTCAGGCCGTCTCCGTTCTGCCATCTCCCCGACGGCCGCGGCCCCCGACGGGTGTCTAAACACATAAACCTGTCGCAACATCAACCTAGAGGAAACACGAAGTAAACCGAGGGCGGGGATGGCCGGCTGTACTCCCGGCCGACGTCCAAATTGCTCGTCGGTTCTATTTTGAATTAACCCATTCGAGAGTCTTTCTGCAGGGAGTTCAGTCTGTTACGCTTAACGACGTCGCTGTCGCTTCTTAAAATACTGGTTTCCAGAAGGGTCTAAAGTGCCTCTGTGCCCCCTCACACCCCAAACCACTTCTGGGGCCAGACTTCAGTGTTTCACTTTTTTCTTCTTCTTGAAGACCCTTCCCCACCACGCCCCCCCCCAAAAAAAAAAACCGATTCACCGTGCTCCCTGGTAATTGCCTGTGCTCCGCGGTCAGGGGCCAGCTGAGGGCCGGAGGGACAGACGCAGGGGAGGCCTGAGGCCTGCAGAGCCCACACCTGCTCCCCCTCCAGGCCCTACCAAGGCAACCCGACCTTCGACCCCGAGTTCATCCGCTCCAAGTCCACGGCCGCCGCGGGCCTGTGCTCCTGGTGCATCAACATCGTGCGCTTCTACGAGGTGTATTGTGACGTGGCCCCCAAGAGGCAGGCCCTGGAGGAGGCGAATGCCGAGCTGGCGGAGGCGCAGGAGAAGCTGTCACGGATCAAAAACAAGATTGCCGTGAGCGCGGGTCCACATCGGCACCTGCAGCCCCGGGGGCGGGGCGGGGCGGCGGGGGGGGGGGATGGGGAGCACCGGAGCCAGGCGCTCACTCTGCCCATCACTACCCCACAGAGGAGGGGTGGGCGCGGCGGCCGCCAGGTACTCAGCACCGCAAATAACCCCCGCAGCCGCAGGGACCAGATGCCCACACTCCTGGCTCCTCGGGCCCAGCCAGCACGGGAGGCCCCGCTCGGCGCTCACTGCTCACGGCCCCGCTGCGCTCGCTCCCGAGGATGCTGGGACACCCAGCACAGCCCCACTTGAGGGCCTCTCTCCATCTGTTTTCCCAGGAACTCAATGCCAACCTGAGCAACCTAACGTCAGCCTTTGAAAAGGCGACAGCGGAAAAGATCAAGTGCCAGCAAGAGGCAGATGCCACCAACAGGGTGATCTCGCTGGCCAACAGGTAGCTCTCTCGGCCCCGCGGGTGCCCCTCCTGTTTTCAGGTGCCCTGAAGGGTCGGGCGGCTTTTGGAGGGGGAGGAACAGCCCCAGGTGCAGGCAGCAATGTCCCCACTTGTGCTAAGTCATGAGGACAGACCCCCCTGACGGACTACTGGCCAGTGTCCCCACCTCCCAGAGCCGGTAGCCCTCCACGACGCACCCCTACGCATCCCGTGACCTCAGGCAGGGGGGGAACCCCGCATAACCCAGACCTACCCCGACCTGCTTGGGATGCGGCATCCACAGACCCCACCCCCCCCACACCCAGGGCAGATCCCCCTTGCTCCCACTCTTACCGCCCGTGGTGTGGGCGCCGGCTTCTGGGGCTTCCAGAGCAGGGCTGTCCAAAGGGACTGAGGCCACACCCATCATTTTATGTGTTCTGGTTGCCACCTTAGCAGAGGACAGAGAGGAAACGGACTTCGATAATGCATTTTACAGAACCCCAAATTTGATCATTCCAACGTGTGATCAGTTGTGATCACATGTGATCATTAAGAATGACCGGTGAGACCACTGATGCACGTTCGCCCCCCCCCGGGCCCTTGAAACCCACACACACACGTCAATTCAGACCGGCCACGCGGGTGTGGGCTGGCCACATGTGCCGGCGGCTGCCCCCGTAGACAGCAAGGCTTCAGGACTTTGTCTTTGGATTTCCGAAAGCGACGCCCAGAGCCTGGCACAGAGCTGCCGGAGGGGTCGGTCCTAGTGCATGGCTTCTGGTGGTATTTTCTCTGCCCCGGAGGGGGCCAGCAGCCCACTGTAGCTGTGGTCAGTGAGACACGGGGACCCCGGGAGACCCCCAGCCTGCACGGCCCTAGCCTCCAGCAGGGTGCAGACTGGACCACGCCTGCCAAAAAAAAATCAAAGCGCCTCCCTGGGAGGCAAGGGCCCCTCGGGTGATGCTAAGGACGGGCCTCGGTGGGCCTGCGCTTTCAACAAATATTTCAATGTTCTCAGGCTTGTGGGGTCACATCTAGGGTCAGGGACCAGTTCTCAGGCCGGTGGCCCGTGACACATGATGCGTCCCCTGCAGTCCCCGCTCCACGTGGGCCAGCTGCCCTCTGGATGCCACACTGGCCCGTGGCCGCCGTGGCCACTCCACCTCTACCAGGACCTGTCACTTGCCAAGCCCGCGCTCGGCGGTGACCGGGCTGCAGCTTTATATAGCACGTGGGTGAAACATTCAAATAACGTCAGCGGAGCAATGACATCAAGGCAGAACTCGGTCCCCAGCTGCCTCCAGGAAGCATTAGTTTTGCTTCCCTGAAGCAGTCCTTCCCCCAAACGTCCCCCAACGCATTTCCACTGCCGAAGCTCCGAGCCAAGGAAGGATAGGAAACGCCCAAGCCTCACGGCATTAGAAGCGGAGGCCGCCTTCCGGTCTTTCCCTTGGCCCCCACTGACCTCGTGTTTCCATTCAGGCTGGTAGGGGGATTGGCATCGGAAAACATCCGCTGGGCTGAGTCGGTGAAGAACTTCAAAAGCCAGGGGGTCACCCTGTGCGGGGACGTCCTGCTGATTTCCGCCTTCGTCTCCTACATGGGCTACTTCACCAAGAAATACCGCAACGAGCTGATGGAGAGATTTTGGATCCCTTATATAAAGAAGTTAAAGGTAAGAGGTTGGGTTGCGTTTGTAGCTCAGGAAACTTGGGGAGGCCCCTGGCAGGGCAGACCCAGCCAAATGCCACACTCACAGACGCTCTGGCCATTGCGGGTTTCAACTGTGGCCCAGAGACTCCTGGGTGACTCAGCTGGTTGAGCATCTGACTCTTGGGTTCAGCTGCAGGTCATGATCCCGGGGTCGTAGGACTGAGCCCCGTGTCAGGCTCTGCCACGAGTGTGGAGCCTGCCCGGGACTCTCTCTCTCTCTCTCGCTCTCTGCCCCTGCCGGCTTACTCACACGTGCACCTGCTGGTGCCCTCGCTCTAAAATAAATAAATCGTGGCCCAGCGTGCTGCCGCCCTTCTTGGCGGGTTCCCAGGGGCTCTGTCAGTCGCTTGGCTGTCTTCCAGACGACACGGCTCGTCCGTGGTCTAACCACAGACCTACCGTGTCACTTGGAGAGCTGTTTCCCGCGGGGCAGTAAGGCCACATCACCTCTTCTGAGGACTAGTGCTCCCCCCTGGCAGGTCCCCATCCCGATCACGGAAGGTCTGGACCCCTTGAGCCTACTGACCGATGACGCGGACGTGGCCACTTGGAACAACCAGGGTCTCCCCAGTGACCGCATGTCCACTGAGAATGCCACCATCCTGTGCAACACAGAGCGCTGGCCCCTCATCGTGGACGCCCAGCTGCAAGGAATCAAGTGGATCAAAAACAAATACGGCCTCGAACTGAAAGCCATCCGCCTGGGACAGAAGAGGTGCGTGATGGTGGCAGGCAGGAGCCAGAGGGGCCTGGGGCGGGGGGCGGGCTCTAAGCGTAGCCACTGGCTGCTGGGCCCCTGTGTGTGGAAAGTCACCTGGGGTGTTTCGTCCTTGTTAAACGGATGGGTGATCTTGAAACACAGATGCTGGCCTGCAGGTGGATTTGTTTTCCCACATTTGGCCTTGGGGAACAGCGGCAAGAGTGAAGAAGCAAACTCGGGGCTCTCCTCTCTTCCCCCCAGTACCTGCCGCAGCTGCGGGCAGGAAGTGCTCACCTGGGCTCCAGCCCGGGCTGCGTCCCGCCCGGCCGTGTGCTGGCCAAGGGGCTTCCGGCTGGTCATTTCTCATTTCTTATCTCCAGCGGGGCTGGCTTCCTTGCTACAGACGGTCACTAAGGCCACCCCGTGCGCCTTCCTGGAGCACTGGGGACGTGGAGCCACACACAGAAGTGAGAACAGAGCTGTGCTCCCATAGGCCCGGAGGGGAGCGCCCCTCGGGGAAGGCGGGTCGCAGAGGACATGCACTGCTGGCCCCTCGGCCGCTCGTCTTTAGGTGCCTTCTTGCTCTGACAGCTGTCCCTGGGGCACCCAGCGGTGCCGTCACTGAGCCCCCCGCATTAAATGCCCCCCGTGTCGTCCCGCAGCTACCTGGACATCATCGAGCAGGCCATTTCCGAAGGGCACACCTTGCTCATCGAGAACATTGGCGAAACCGTGGACCCCGTGCTGGACCCGCTGCTGGGCAGGAATACCATTAAAAAGGGAAAGTGAGTTCCGGGTTCCATCCGTGCC